ACCCCGCCCCACGTGACCTCCCTCGCCCGCCCCGCCCCTTTATGCAAATAAGACCCGGGGAAAGGGGGCGGTGCCAAAGGCTGCAGCAGGGCCGTTTAGGGAGCGGGTGCAAGTTCAAATCCCCGAATCCGAGCGAAAAAAAAAATGCAAAAACTCTTTTGAGGAAGGGGGGGGTTGGAGAAGCGGCCAAGTCGCCCCCCCTCATCTTCCCCGAAAGGGCGACGGAGTCACTCCTGATAGGGCGTGGCTCCGGTTTTGGGAGAGAAGGCGGGGAAGCCTTTGGAACGCCAAGAGACATGATTTTGGTTCAGCAACTCCGCCAGTCCCTCGTCTTTTTTGGGGGGGGGGAGTTCCAAGAAAAACGTCTGGAGAGCCCAGTTTTTTCCCCCTCCCTATGGGGATTCGGATTTGGGGGAATTCAGGCTGTGTATTTATTTGAAATACTGAAATAAAAAGGAGAGAAAAGCAGCTTATATCATTAAAAACACACTTAAAAGCTAAGAAGAGCAAGTAGACAAATATTTTAAAATGAATGAAACAAGTAGTATATTAGAAGCGGCCACTAAAATCTGCATTAAGCAAAATTAGGGAGAGATTCTAGCCCCCCCCCCCAAGAGTTAGACAAATTCTTTGGACCACTTTGTCGCACCCTAACCAATTTACAAAAATTGTCATGAGGATAAAGGGAAGACAAGCAGACTATCAGTCATTTTACTGGAGTAAATGTAAGCTAAGGAACAGGTGTGTCAGGCAATATCAAAACAAATTTTAAAAAACATGAAGACCACAAACACATTGCAGCCCCTTAAATTGCTATATTTTAACGTGAGCTTTCGTGGACTGGGGCCCCTTCTTCAGACAGAGTGAGATGGCATGGTAAATATTTATACAGATAGGTAACAATTCTCAAATACTGTAAATCAAAAAAAAAATTAATAACAGTGTCAAGATACTATCATCACACATGCACACCCGAGTCAGCATTTATATCTTTCTTGGGCTGCTGCCAGTTTTAATCAGGATTTTACTCAGTCATCATTTTAACGGCCAGTATTACCTGCAGCGTGTAAGTCAGGCTCGGAGGCGTTGGGATCAGAAACAGCAAGGGCATCATCCGTAGACCCTATGAAGAAGGCACACATCCACAGCTGGGCGACAGGGTACTGTACAAAGGAGCAATTTCCTACCCGCAGTTAGTAGCAAATGTGCAGGCGACGTTGGGATCAGAAACAGCAAGGGCATCATCTGTAGACCCTATGAAGAAGGCGCACATCCACAGCTGGGCGACAGATTGCCAGTATTTGATTTTTAGGGTACTTTACAAAGGAGCAATTTCCTACCCGTAGTTAGTAGCAAATGTGTAGGAGATCGAAAAGGAGATACTGTACACAGGTAACCTAGTCACACCGAGTAGACAGTCTAGAGGGGCGGGGTAAAAATCAAATCAATCAATCAATCAATCAATCAATCTTTCCTTACCTCTCCATCACAGTAAATACTTCTAAAACTACATCTATGCATTTCACTCAGTATATACTAATTTTGTGCGAAGCAGTAAAGTGGTGCCTCGCATAACGATGTTAATTGGTTCCATTAAAAACACTGTTATGTGAAAACATTGTTAAGCGAAACACCATTTCCCATAGGAATGCACTGAAAACCGGTTAATCCGTTCCAATAGGAGCCTATTCAATACATTTCAATAGTGAAAAAAAAACACCAAAAATTCAAAAAGACTCAGAACGAAGCCAAATTACTTTAACAAAGGCATTAAGCGAAACAGGGGACCTAAAACTGTCATCGTTAAGTGAAGCAAGGTCCCAAACATCGTTATGCGAAAATCCCCTATAGGAAACATCGTTAGGTGAGGCGGCAAAATTTCCAACAAAGGCCATCGTTATGCGAATTCATCGTTGAGCGAGGCACTCGTTAAGTGAGGCACCACTTGTTATCTCTTTTTGATGGAGCATTCCCTCTGCCTGTCGAGCAATCTTACTCACATCTGGAGCTAGTCTTACCTTTCCTAAGCGAACACGCTCATTGCTGCTTATCATCATCCTGGCTGCCTCATTCTCTCGCCGTCTTTCTTTGAAGCCATTCTGTACAGGAGGAGGCATGGAGCAGGGTTTGGGCAGAGCAGGCATGAGCCGTGAAAGAAGACAGCCTGAAATCATTTTCTTCAAAGGAGCTCTAAGTGGATCTGTTTGGCTTTCCATTTATTTATTTTACCTCCACAACGCCTCGACACCCATCAAGGTTATCACAGCTCAATTTGAGATCTGAACCCCTATAGATTCTAACTAGCCCCGGAGAAATACCCCCTTTTTTTCATTTTTGAGACCTTGGAAGATCTGGAAAGGAATCCTGGAGAGAGTGAATTATTCTTACTAGCTGCAACGGTGAAGGGTGCTAGAATTGCAACCCAACAGCTGGGACGCTGTGCGAGCGCACAGGCCAATTGTGATGTTCACAGCTGTCCTCACAAATCAGAACTGGGTATCCCAGTGGTTTAGGTCTCTGCATGCAGAGTTTGATTCCCCACCGTGTCTCCTTGACAAGGGCTGGACCCGATGATCCACCAGGTCCCTTCTAGCTCTGTGGTTTAAAGATGATTATTGGAATGCTGCGGTAGGTGAAAGTGTACTTATTTTCCAGAAACAAAGGCTCCATTGATTTTCTCACTTATTTTCAGGATTTTGGACGCAACGGTGTTATTGGACAGTGTTTGCGTGTATACACAACATGTGCAGCCAACACAGCTAGTTGTTTGCAAGCCTGCGTTCGAAGTCCAGCTAGTTTAGGTGTATATACAAGTCATTTCCAATTTGCACACACCCGGGAGAGCCCTAGAAAAAGGGAATTGAATGGTAAACCCCTTCTGAGCATTCTCCAGCTGGAAAATCCTGGGAAGGGCACCCACAAGTCAGAATCGACTTGATGCCATGCAATGCTTCTTAATTATGAGTTAATAAGGTCCTATTCATAAAAGTCTTTGTAATCTTAAGGCGGTGGCTTCCTTTCTCGAGTCTCTCCTTCACACGTTTGCCTTTTCCCGGCTGCCTCCGAAAAAGTATTGCCTTTTCATGATGGGAACCAAGCAGTAGCAGAAAAAAAATAAAAATAAAATTCAACCAGAATTAGGATCCAGGAGGGCTGCTGGAGAGTTTCAGCAATTTGAGTCTCTAGATAAGGGAGCCAGAGGTTGGGAGTTCGATTCCCCTTTGCCTCCTTGACCCTTGATGAGGTCTCTAGTTTCCCTTTTCAGCTCTGCAGTATCATCATCATCATTGTTGTTGTTACTGTTATTAAGGGGGGGGGGTTCATCCACATCCGGGGCTTTTCTACCTATCCGGGGAAACCCACTGCCATCATCCCACAAACAATCATCAGCGCTTCGACGGTGTTAAATAAATAAATAAAAAAAAGCTTGCTGACAGACTTTATTTTATTGCTGTCTTTGAACAGACTGCAGCGTCCCTTCCCCGCCAAAAAATTATTATTATTATTATTATTATTATTATTATTATTATTATTATTATTATTATTATTATTATTATTATTATTATTATTATTATTATTATTATTATTATTATTATTATTATTATTATTATTATTATTATTATTATTATTATTATTATTATTATTATTATTATTATTATTATTATTATTATTATTATTATTATTATTATTATTATTATTATTATTATTATTATTATTATTATTATTATTATTATTATTATTATTATTATTATTATTATTATTATTATTATTATTATTATTATTATTATTATTATTATTATTATTATTATTATTATTATTATTATTATTATTATTATTATTATTATTATTATTATTATTATTATTATTATTATTATTATTATTATTATTATTATTATTATTATTATTATTATTATTATTATTATTATTATTATTATTATTATTATTATTATTATTATTATTATTATTATTATTATTATTATTATTATTATTATTATTATTATTATTATTATTATTATTATTATTATTATTATTATTATGGGGGGGGAGGTCGAAAGAGGGAACTTCTGCCTGCTTGGCTAAACACATTTAAAATTTATATAGCGCTGAATAATCTCTAGTAATTAATTTAATGCCACCGTGATTGTCATATAATTATATAAATACACGATGTCATTATAGTTCATTAATTCATTAGCTATACATACATAGATACAGACACCTTTGGGGAATGTGGGTGGCGTATAAGTTAAATAAGTAAATGAAAAAATTAAGAAATAAATATACACACACCGATACACACATATGTGTGTATATTGTATATATATGCGTGTATACTGCGTATACGTGTGTGTGTGTACACTCTGTATATGTGTGCGTGTATACATATATATACATAAGTGGTGCCTCGCATTGTGACGTTAATTCGTTCCAGTGAAATCGCTGCTGAACGAAAACGTCGCAGTGCGAAAATAAAAAGCCCATAGAAACGCATTAAAACGCGATTAACGTGTTCCTATGGGCTTAAAACTCACCGTTCAGTGAGGTATACACACACATGTGTGTATGTGTATAATAGTCAACATAATATATGTTATTAAATATGATAAATGTTTATTTAAATATAGGTGTCACGTGGTTAATCCAGAGGTGTTTCCGATCGTTGCGCAGTGGGTGCACCTGATAAGGGTTGCTCCTACAGCAGTTGTCAGAAATACTTCTTATATGTGTATGTATTTAAAATAATTTTGCCCTCGCCCTTCTCCTTAGAAAGAACCCCAGGTAGCTTGGATCATTAAAAAGTCAATATTTAAAAACTACAAACAGTAGGTATATAACTTTAAAAAAAGAGGAAGTGTTGCATTAAAAATGGTAATAAAACCAATACTAAAACACATTTAAAACAGAGCGCAACAATCCATTAAAAAAAATCCATTCTCAGACCACCCGTTGTGAAAGGAAAGCCTGCCTATGTTTTGTATTTATCGTATGTTACAAGGATTTGCCTCCTACACTGGCTGGAAGGGAGTCTAAATTGGCGTACGTGGCCCTCCTTACCGTTTCATCCTCCCAACAGCCCTGCGAGGTAGGATCTTCTAAGTGACAGCCCAACACCACGAGGTTTCCGAGGCTGTGGGGTGTGGGGGTGTGCAGGATAACAGCAGAAAGGTTTTGGATAAGCTGAGGATGTAGGGGAAGGCACATAGAATGAAACATTTAAGGGTGCAAGTGATGGATTTCTTAGGTCCGAGTTAATTGGGGTGTGCAGGATAACAGCAGAAAGGTTTCGGATAAGCTGAGGATGTAGGGAAGGCACATATAATGAAGGGTGCAAGTGATGGATTTCTTAGGCTCGAGTTAATTCTGATTAATGTATTTGCGAAGGCTTTCACGGCCAGGATCTAATGGTTGTTGTGGGTTTTTCGGGCTCTATGGCCGCGTTCTGGAGGTTGTTCTTCCTAACGTTTCTCCCGTCTCTGTGGCCGGCATCTTCAGAGGACAGGAGTAGGAAATCTGTCTCTGCTCTGGCGCAGTTTTATGCGATAGCTGAGTATTATTCTAATTAAAATCTTCAGTGGCAGGATTAAAAAAGCACCATGTGTTTCACAGATGACGGGCAGTAAAAATAAGGTTTCGATGTCACCTTTTGAGACTGTCTCCTGTTGCCGTCATTTTTTCCCCCCTTCCAGTAATCCTAATTGATACTTGGGCAAAGGGAACACATGGCTATTACCGGCAATATGATGTGCAATAATGCTTAATTACAGCTATGTTAATTAGGGATGGGCTGTTTGGAATGAACGAACTCCCAGTTCCACAGTTTACGAGGAACCCCCTTCTCCCGTTGAATTATAGGACTAGCGGTTGTCAAAGTGACAGGGGCTATAGCAATCCACCTCTCCTTCACGTCCTTATAAAAAAAATGTCTTTCTTCAGTGTCAGAGTCACAGTGATTCCCCACGACTCTCGAAGATTAATGAGGGAACGAATGCTAATGGATGTTTTAGAGTCCTGAGATTAATGAGGGAACGAATGCTAATGGATGTTTTTTAGGGTTCTATAAGGACCGGGGGAGTCCCCCAGACTGGAGATCTTTCTCTGCATGTCTCTCAACCAAAGATGATTTCTTCCTTTCCTTTCAGCACTGGCTGAAATTCTCAGCGTCAAAGACATCAGCGGCCGGAAACTGTTCTATGTCCACTACATTGATTGTGAGTAGGCCCTCCGTGGGCTGAGGAGAGCTGAAGGGACTTTGTTGTAAAGGGGCTTTCCTAGAATTTGGGGGGGGGGCAGAAATGAGACTCCAGTCTAAAGGTAGAATAATCTGTAAAACTTAAGTTCTGTTGAATCAAGAGTGGGTTTCGGTCCTTCCGCTCCCGGAAGCCCCACAGAGTTGGGGGGGGGAGTCCCGGCTGTTTACTTCTGCACGTGCGATGGATAGATTAATCTTATTCCCAGAAAATGCATGTGGTGGTTGAACCTCCAGCGCCAAGAGGCATCCTAGGGCATGACTCCCTGCGTGTGTTTATCACCCGCTTGAAACGGAAGGACCAGATCCTTTCCCCCTGCCCCATTCTCCCTGCACAAGCCGGGGAGAATGATCCTTCAATGGGGGAAATCATCTTCCCATGCATGGGAGGTTTTGGGCTGCTTCGGGAGGTTGCCCAAGGAACTGCTGCCCCTCAGTTTCTGCCGCCTGAAGCGTTCATGAGAAAGTCATTCTGAGTCTCTTCGGCCACTGACCAAGGAGCAGTGACAATCCTGCCGAATCTATGGGGAGTAAAGTGAACTTCCTGGTTTGCTTGCAATGCTTCATAAGTGCTCAGGATGTTAGAGATAAGAACCCACCTGTTTTTTTTTTTTCTTATTTTGAGATCCTGGCGGCCATACCTTTGGGTCTGATTGCAGCCGAGGCCAGCCAGAAGGTTTGAGCTCTCGGTGCGAGCTCCGCTGAACCGCCGTGCGCGCTCGCCGCACGCAGGCCGTATTGGTAAAGACGTAGGATAGTTAAGAGGACGAAGCTGTCAGGCAAATTCTTGAGCAGCATGAAAAGCTGAGGAATCTGGTAGGAAGGAAGTTATCTTGAGCTGCTGGAAGGGCTTAGGAGCCCCGACGTGAGCGCCCACTTGCTGAGCCGCAGCGCTTATAGGCAGGTGGGTCCCTGCGTGCCCCTCCTCAACCACGGGGGGAGAAAGAAACCCTTTCCTTGCCTTTAACTCTGCAGTTAATAAGCGTCTGGACGAATGGGTGACCCACGACCGGCTCGATCTAAAGAAGATCCAGTTCCCCAAAAAGGAAGCTAAGACTCCCACCAAGAATGGACTGCCAGGGTCCCGGCCCAGCTCTCCGGAACGTGACGTGGTAGGATGATGGGGACCGGGGGGGGAGGGCAGAGGAGGGCGGGTTCTTGTTGTCTGGAGGGTGGTTTTCAGCCAGTTCCTTGGGAACCCAGGCTAGGTGGAATGAAGGACAGAGCCTTCCATGTCATAAGGATGTGGCTTTTTGCTAGGCATTATTCCACACTTGCTCCCCCCCCACCCCCAGCGCATCGTGGTGCATCTTCTTGTGCTGCCTGGCCTGCCGCGTGTGGGGTTGGCAATCCCCGGCCCACTCCCCGAGAGCCATAGCGCAGCCCCCCCGTTCCCCATGTGTTGGTAACGCCCGTCTTCCTCCCTACTCAGAGGAAGACCTTGGATCTGTCTCTCCAGCCAGCCGCAACTCCATCCAGCGGTAAAACCCTGCCCATCCCGGTGCAGATAACCCTCCGCTTTAACCTACCTAAAGAGAGGGAGGCCGTCCCTGGCTCGCCCGACCAACCCCTCTCCTCCAGCTCCTGCGTCCAGCCCAACCATCGCTCAACGGTACGAACCGGCGCTCGGCCGCCCCGGCTCGCTCCTTTTGTCTTCTTGTCCCACCCGGCACATTCTCAAGAGGCCGCACCGGCTGGGCGGGGTTGGGTGAGGTCTGGGCCGGCGAGGGAGGCCTCCGGGGGGAAGAGCCGCAGGGGGATACGGCCGCCTTCCTCTTGAGGACCACCCCCTGTTATTTCCCTCCCGGGTCGAATCAGGGCGGTGGAGCCTTTGCCTCCACCGCGTGGCGCCTGCAGACGAAACGAACCATTTCCGCCTGGCTTGAACGCTCCTTGAGTGGTGTGCCTTTTGCACATGTTCAGGGAACCTAGCTCAGTCTAGCTTTCCAAACCCACGAGCCAAGCTCGACTCTGGCTGTCCTTGGTGGTCTTTGAACCCCCAAGGGTCCAGGTCAAGTTGCAGATGGCCGCTTCTCGCTGTCCTGGTGGACTGCTTTGTTTAGGCCGGTTTGGAGCGGGTTTTCATGGCGGGTCGAATCAGGGCGGTGGAGCCTTTGCCTCCACCGCGTGGCGCCTGCAGACGAAACGAACCATTTCCGCCTGGCTTGAACGCTCCTTGAGTGGTGTGCCTTTTGCACATGTTCAGGGAACCTAGCTCAGTCTAGCTTTCCAAACCCACGAGCCAAGCTCGACTCTGGCTGTCCTTGGTGGTCTGTGAACCCCCAAGAGTCCAGGTCAAGTTGCAGACGGCCGCTTCTCGCTGCCCTGGTGGACTGCTTTGTTTAGGCTGGTTTGGAGCTGGTTTTCACAGTCTGCAGTAAATTGTTTCTTGCCGGCCCCTTAGCCCTGGCCCAGGTTCCTGAAAGAACGGGTGTACGTCCAAGCATCTCTGCTCCCACGCGCTGGCACCGAGTTTGCCCACCGCATGGGCCAACCGTCTTTGCTTAGCTGGGCTATGAGCTTCAGATCAACGTCAGGCGTTCCTTTAGTCATCCTGCTCACACCTTTCTCCAGGGAGGTGGCGGTACGGGAGCCCCCATAAAAGACACTCTTTCCCATGATGTGCCCAAGCTAGAGCGCCACATGCTGGTTCTTCTATGGTGGACGGAGTTGTTTGTCACAGGCAGGACCGGGACAGAAACACAGTCCCCCCTCCACCCCACGTTGCTGACGTCAAGGACACTGTGTAAAACAGACCTCTTTTATTCCCAGGAGAGAGGAGTGGGGGGGGGGGCTAAGCTAATCACTGCAGGGCAGAATTGGTTCCCCGAGGAATCTCCATAGCTCTAACCACTATTGTGGGTTTCCCAGTCCCCCCAGCCCTACCCCAGTCCCCTTCACTCCATGGCAGATGAGGAAGTGTCCCTGGACGGCCAGCCTCCAGCACAGGCTTTGTCTTGCCCTGCGTCAAAGCCACTCCGCCCGCTGCAGTGGACATTGCCATCGGAGTGGCTATGGGGTGTGTGTGTGTGTGTTTGTGTGCGCGCCGGGTGCAGCAACCCAGCAGCCTAAAAGCATCGGCTTGTTTTGGTTTCTTACAGAAGCGGAAGGTGGAAGTGGTTTCTCCGGCGACCCCCATCCCGGCTCCGACGGAGACAACTCAGGCGTCGGTGTTCCCCCAGGTGGGCAGCCGGGCGGGCCTCTTTTCTCCTCTAGCCTTTTGCTACACAGAAGGAAAAGTTGGATGATGAACCTTGAGCAGTGGACGCGAGGGGTTTCTCAGCATCCCCAGGCATCCGAAACTGCTTCTCCACGTTCCTCGGGTCGAGATTTAGTGAAGTACAGAAGTACAGAAATCAAACCCAAGTCCTCGTTTTGGAGGCCTTCAAGAGAAAATCGGACAGCCGGCAATCGGCGCTGCTTCGAGTCGGATTCCCTCCTTGAGCAAGGGGTTGGGCTTGATGGCCTTAAGAGGCCCTGTCTTCCAACTCCATGATTCTATGATTTTTGTGTCTGTAAAAAGAGAGGTGGGGAGCACTGGGTCTCCAGATGACCGTGGTAGTGGTCGTCTGGGTGGGTGGGGTAGTTGTCTGCCAAAGGACCCCCCTCCCCGCAGGGCCAAGCTGGATTGCTTTGGGTTTCAGTTTACAGGATAGCACGAAGGTGATGTAAAGGGATGTAGCCTCACATAACGGGATTAAAATTCAGATCAATGTCAGATCAACTTTTCTCCTGGCAGTGGAGGGAATTGGACAATTAGGTTTCATTCGTACTGTGGCGGAGACAGGCACAAAAATGGGAGAACACATGAAGTAGGTCAGGATCTCTGGCAGGTTTCATCTCATTGGGACTCTGAATATTTTTAGAAAATTACAACAATGTTTTTAAAAATGAGCCCTTGCCACGGTTGATCCTATTTCTCTTGATAGCCATAAAACAGAATATGTGTCTTGGTTATCTTTTGCCAAGGCTGCAGTTTTGAAGTTAACTTTTTTAACTTCAAGACTACAGTTTTCCAAATTCTCCTGCTGGCCGCAGGACGTTGTCCAGAAAAGTAACTTCCAAAACTCCCCTATGCCGGCATCTGAAATCTGCTTCTTTTCCGTCTGAAGTCATACAGTCCATAATCCCCAGTGAAATAAAAAAAGGGCTCTCTGTGAGCCACTGGCAACTGAGATATACGTTTGGCAAAAAAGAGAGATGTATTTACGCGCAGGAAAAAGTTTTCCTCCCTTATCAGCTCATTCCTTGAACTCTAGTGCCTGCACATGAATTTGTACATAAGACAGGATTTGGGGGAACCCCGAGCAGGTCAAGAAATGTGCTTGAGCATGGCGCTGAAGTCCCCGTGGGTTTTGCTCTGCCGTTCGCATCACCTCGCCCCCAGCTTCCTCTCTCTGGTTTGATCTCTTCCCAACTAACCAGAGAAAGACACCAAGAACCAACTTCAAAGTCTGTCCTGGGCTGCGAAGGGAGCAGACTAGAGACGGGACGTGGGCTGCGGGCCCCCATCACAGAAAAAACCAAGCCCCAAAGCAGGGTTGGTGATGGGGTCA